AGGGATCTTTTGTAATGTTTGAAGCCCAGCCTGCGTGATAACCATGGCTGCCCTAATAGTGGAGGAGGAGTGAGTGTAGTCACCCAGGGACAGGAAGTGTATTATTCACAGGATTACCACATGACAATATTGGGAAAAAAGTCTGAACAAAGTCATCACATCTAAGGATTTGTAAACTGCTATATATTTCTTATGTATAGACCCTTAAAAGAGCCTTTACCCATGTGAAAAATGGATTTATCATAACAAATGCTAGCTTATCTTCAGCGTTTGTGATAACTAAGTCACATGTATAGATATGTACAAAATATCAAAAAATGTCATCACACAGTGACTTCTGTCCTCCTTCTTGCTGAGCTTCCTGTAGCGTAATGAGAAGAAAGATAGATGAAATCAGTGGGGGAGAGTGGTAACCCCAGACCACTGTGGTGAAAACCTACACAGTCAGAATTAATGGACAGTAGCAAGGGCGAGGGACAAGCACAATTTAAAAAAACAAAAGGTAGGGGAGATAGATATGGTCATTCTTTTGTTCATTCATGGAGATTTGAATGTATCTTGGGTTTGAAAGAGTGATGCTAAAAGCTAACTGTATAAACTGTATCAACGTTGGCTGTGTGGGGGTCAGCTGTGTGTCATCTGGAAATGTCACAAGGGAAGAATGTCACCAGCACACCAAGGTTCTCCAATATGGGTCCGAAGCTTTAAAAAACAATCACATAGTTACAGCAAGAGCAATGTTTCGGAGTCTCATAGGACCCCTTCATCAACATAGCCACATGCTGATGAAGGGGTCCTGCGAGCAGGGGCGGACTGACCATTCGGAAACTCGGGCACTGCCCGAGGGCCCTGGGTCAGTAGGGGGTCCCATGAGATGCCCCTGGTGCCTTTTATAGGCTTTTTTGGGTGTGGTTTGAGTGTGGGTGAGGACACAGGGGCCCCATGATCCCCTATTGCCCGGGGGCCCCATGAGTTGTCAGTCCACCCCTGCCTGCGAGACTCCAAAACGTTGCTCTTGCTGCAACTATGTGATTGCTTATTAAAGCTTCGGACCCATATTGGAGAACCTTGGTGTGCTGGTGAAATTCTTCCCTCATGACATTTCCTGATGACTCACAGCCAACCCCCACACAGCCATCACATAGTTGCAGCAAAAGCAACGTTTTGGAGTCTCGCAGGACCCCTTCATCAGGCATGTGACTGAAAGGGTCCTGTGAGACTCCGAAACATTGCTCTTGCTGTAACTATGTGATTGTTTATTAAAGCTTCAAACCCATATTGGAGAACCTTGGTGTGCTGGTGACATTCTTCCCTTGTGATGCTTTTCGGTTCCAGCTGATGGTCACTGCACGCATAGCCACTCTTTGATGAAGGAATGTGTGCATTGGGGTTTTGTAACTTTGCTAGTCATCAGGAAGTGACTGTCGACTCCCGCATGTGAGTGCAGAGGAGCTGCAACCCTGCATTGCGTAGGCTGTGTGGAAGACAGTGCTGAAGCACATGGGTTGATAAATATGTATTTCTTTAACGTTAGCAGCTACTGTACTTGTAACTGCTGATTTTTATTTTTTCCCTAACCCAAGTTAAGTTTTTCTTAACTTCCTAGCTCCCCTGATTAAAATTAACCCAATGCAACCAGCTGCCATCCAACTGAAATTTCCCATTTCACCTGTGCAATTGTTCCCCATGTAATGCTATGATACAGGATAAACTCTATTGGGGGCCATCTTCTGATACAGGATAACTCAATGGTAAAACCATCTTCTGATACAGGATAAACTCAAAAGGGGATTATCTTCTAATCTAGGATAAACTCAATGGAGGACCATCTTCTGATACAGGATAAAACTAAATGACTCTATGGCGGACCATCTTCTGATACAGGATAAACTCTATGGGACACCATTTTCTGATACAGGATAAACTCTATGGGAGACCATCTTCTGATACAGGATAAACTCTATGGGAGACCATCTTCTGATACAGGATTAACTCTTTGGGAGACCATCTTCTGATACAGGATAAACTCTATGGAACACCATCTTCTGATACAGGATAAACTCTGTGGGACACCATTTTCTGATACAGGATAAACTCTATGGGAGACCATCTTCTGATACATCTTCTGATACAGGATAAACTCTATAAACTCTATGGGGACACTTGATAACATCTTCTGATACAGGATAAACTCTATGGGAGGACCATCTTCTGATACGGGATAAACTCAAGAAAATATATGGGGATTAAAGTGGTTGTAAAACTTAATTTTGTTTTGTAAATAACAAACACTATACTTACTTGCTCTGTGCACCTGCTACCTGCTCCCTCCTGCCAAATGCCCCTAGAGCAAGCTGCCTACTCTGAGGGCACTCATGCTTGCTTGCTCCCGAGCCAGCCCTGCATGTCCATAAGACATACAGAGACATTATACATATATATATAGTGCAGCGCTGTAATGTGATAAAATTAGTATAAATTCGTTCAAAGAGTCTTTCTTGCAATAATAAAACCAAATATGTGCAGGCCTTCTCCTCATTAGGTGACTGGAAAATAGCAAAAATGCGCACTCACCGACCGCACATTTTAAATGCGCCTGTGTATGATATTATCCAGAAGACCAGCCAGGTATGCAGCTCCAGAAACCACACGGATCCTCCCTCTCCAACACTGACATCCGCCTTGGGTGTAGCAATATCTCCAGATCCAGAGGCCCTCTCGCCCCAAATAATAGGTAGACAGGGATCCCCCTTCTGGTTCCAGATACCCCAAACATTCTTGTTTTGTGGAAAATTGCAGTTAGCCCTGGTTCACACCGGTACGACAAGTTGCACCCCATTGCTGGCAATGGAACCATTCAATTCGGGTAACTCTGACTTTGCGGTGCGGCACCGATTTTGAAAAAAGGTTCTGTACGATTTTTGTCGGTTTCATGTGCGACTTGCATAGACCTCTGTGTATGATGTTGCACATGAAATTGCACTGACCAGAGGCTTTGAAATTGCACTATTTCAGCTGAAGTAGCACGATTTCAAAGCCTCATTCAGTGTGAATCAGGGCTTACAGTGAACAGTCCATGTTATTTATGCAGTTGCTAGTGATCCTGAATCAGAGGAATAAAACAAAGCAAATGGACAACAGAACAAGTTAAGTCTGAGCTTTCGGTGAATTTGCATGCAGCAGAGCCTGATTGGCTCCTAGTACTGACCCTCCCAGTCCGAATACTTTTGTTTAGGGGATTACAGGAGGCTGATATCAAGGAAAGTTCAGGGATTTAAATTAGTTACGTTTAACAATACATGTAATTAATTTTTTAATAAGTAACTCCTTTCTTTTTTTTTTAAATATCTTTACTTCAGAACAAGACTGATAAGGCTAGTATTTGTTGAACAGTGTCATAGACAAACCAAACATTTGCCAGGAGATTTGTAAATTGCACAACCAATTTCTAGCTATATGACCCACTTCATCAGGGAATGTGCAATCCGCATGCAAAAATGTTAGCATTAGGCTGGCCATAGATGGGCCATTTATCAGCCGAATTGTCGGCCGATAAAGGAAAAATCGGTTGGCCCCGTTGCCGATGCTGCCACCAATGTCTACGAAAAACATCAGTTTTTCGTGGATTTTCCAGCATGACCGATAAAACTAAACGAGAAGATACGTGAAAAATGGCCGACGGTCTGGCCCCACTAACGGCGTGAATATCGGCGGGTTTTTCATGCGGGACGCAAATTCAGCCGATAAACGACCCGTCTATGACCTGCATACATCTTTGGGTCCATATTTGTGACCAAAACAACAGATAAATTTTCACATTTTAGTGCTGGGAAACAATGATTGGTGCTTTTCTCTTTTGTGCCACAAATGTGAGCACTTATTTAGTGATGAAATTCAACCCCAGAACTAGCACAAAACTTAGAAGTGCTAAAATGCACGGTTGACCCATAGGGATATGACAACTCATTTGGTCCCCGGGTAATAGGGGATCATGGGGCCCCTGTGTCCTTGCTCAAACTCAAAAAAGCCTATGAAAAAGGTACCAGGAGCATCTCATGTGGTCCCCTACTGACCCCGGGCCCTCGGGCAGTGCCCAAGTTTCCAAATGGTCAGTACGCCCCTGGTGGGGTGTGTTTATGAACGTACACTATATTAACAAAAGTATTGGGACGCCTCTGCCTTTACACCCACATGAACGTTAATGGCATCCCAGTCTTAGTCCATAGGGTTCAATATTGAGTTGGCCCACCCTTTGCAGCTATGACAGCTTCAACTCTTCTGGGAAGGATGTCCACAACGTTTAGGAGTGTGTCTATGGGAATGTTTGACCATTCTTCCAGAAGCGCATTTGTGAGGTCAGGCACTGATGTCAGACAAGAGAGCATGGCTTAATCTCTGCTCTAATTCATCCCAAAAGGTGTTCTATTGGGTTGAGGTCAGGACTCTGTGCAGGCCAGTCAAGTTCCTCCACTCCAAATTCATTCATCCATGTCTTTATGGATCTTGCTTTGTGCACTGGTGCGCAGTCATGTTGGCACAGGAAGGGGCCATCCCTAAACTGTTCCCACAAGTTGGAAGCATGAAATTCTCCAAAATGTCTTGGTATACTGACGCCTTAAGAGTTCCCTTTACTGGAACTAAGGAGCCAAGCCTAACCCCTGAAAAACAACCCCACACTATAATCCCCCCACCACCAAACTTTACGAGTGGCACAGTGCAGTCAGGTAAGTATCGTTCTGGCAACCACTAAACCCAGACACATCCATCGAATTGCCAGACAGAGAAGCGTAATTTGTTACTCCAGAGAACATGTCTCCACTGCTCTAGAGTCCAGTGGTGGGTGCTTTACGCCACCACATCCGACACTTTGCATTACAGTTGGTGATGTAAGGCTTGGATGCAGCTGCTCAGCCATGGAAACCCATTTCATGAAGCTCTCTATACACTGTTATGCTAATCTGAAGGCCACACAAAGTTTGGAGGTCTTTAGCTATTGACTCTGCAGACAGTTGATGACTTCTGCGCACTGTGCACTTCAGCATATGCTGACTCTGTCATTTTCGTGGCTCAGTTGCTGTTGTTCCCAGTTGCTTCCACTTTGTTATAGTAGCATTAACCGTTCACCGTGGAATATTTAGTAGCAAGGAAATTTTGCGGATGGACTTATTACAGGTGGTATTATTAGGTGGCAACCTATCATGGTACCATGCTTGAATTCACTGAGCTCCTGAGAGCGACCCATTCTTTCACAAATGTTTGTAGAAGCAGTCTGCATGCCTAGGTGCTTGATTTTATACACCTGTGGCAATGGAGGTGATTGGAACACCTGAATCCAATGATTTGGAGGGGTGTCCCAATACTTTTGGCAATATAGTGTATATGCTGTAGGCACATTGCATATATTTACCAGCGCTTTACATGCCTTTATATTCATCCCTATAGAAAGCGCACTTTGGTAGTGAATGTTCATAGGGAGATTTTGATGTTTTAGCCAGATTTTTTTTAGAAGTATGATTATGAGCACCAGTGTTTGTCAGCAATAGAGGGCATTTATATTACATCAATCATGCTGCACTAGCCAGAAAGAAGAATATACAACTGATGATCTTTTGTCTGTGGTGCTATCAAAGACCCAATACGCTACCACAGAGGATAATTCTTTATTCATTATTAATACTGTAGTGCCATAAATGATGTACTATAATAGTTTAATGAGAAGTAATTGTTCTTAGGGTTCTCATTTGAGATTTTTTGTGGGGTGATTAAAGTGATCCAGTCATGATATGGCTTATGAAATAATCAGAATATTCAGTTTTAATGTAATATAATTTTGCAGCCCACTTATTTATCTACTATACTTAAAGTGTGACTTAACAATCTCTTAGTATGGTTTCACAATCAGAAGTCATAGGTAGGGATGAACTTTGGGTTTGGGTATACCATGAGTTCGTTATGAACTAAGGTTACCATCCCTTTAAAACCGAACACATAATAAGTACACAGGTTCTGAGGCTAATTTAATGCAGATAAGGCACTAAATGAGTTTAATTACCATCTTAATCAGCTAGAGAACCTGTGGAATTAATATGTATTCAGTTTTAACTGGATGAAATGGCAACCCTATTCTGAACTAAGGTAGTTTGTGGGTCAAGAATGTGGTATAGAGGTATATGAGGTTTAAATCTATAGCTATGAGTACTCAACAATGCACTTCTTGAACTTTGTGAAGGTGCCTTAGACGTGTAGGGATCTGTTGCCCTCTACTGTCTGTAAGTGGCTCTGCTGCTTAAATAATATGTAAACCCAACATTTAATATTCCTGATATGTGCCTGCTGTACCATGTACTTGTATGAAAAAAGTTTCCTGTTCTCTTTGTATTGCTTCCTTTCTGTTAACTCCCTGGTGCTCCTGACAGTCCCTCTGATTTCCTATTAAAAACTGACCACACTAGACAAGGGAGGACAGTGTGCTCAGTTTTCTAGCTGTGCAGGGAGCTAATCATAGATCAGACTTGTGCTGATCCCTGACCCCCCCACCAGTGCTTGGGGGTATATTGCTTCCTCCCAAACCAGTGCTGGGGGTTAATATCATATCCACTGACACCAATGCTAAGGCTTATTATTGTGCCCAATACCACCAGTGCTGGGGGTTATATTGCTTTCACCTACACAAATACTGAGGATTATTATTGCTTCTACTGAAATCAGTGCTGGGGGTTATAGTGCATCCACCAACACCCCTTCTGGGGGTTAAAACTGCATCCCCAGATGCCAGTGCTGGGGGTTAATTTTGCATCCACCATCCCCAGCACTGGGGGTTATTCTTGCATCCATTGACACCAATACTTAGAGTATTTATTGTGTGCATTAACACCAGTGCTGAGACTTATTATTGTGTCCACTGCCACCAGTGCTGGGGGGGTTATATTGCTTCCACCGATACCAATGCTGGGGGTTAATATCATGCCCACTGACACCAATGCTGAGGCTTATTATTGCATTCCATACCACCAGTGCTGGGGGTTATATTGCTTCTACCGACACAAATACTGAGGATCATAATTGCTTCTACTGACACCAGTGCTGGGTGGTATACTGCGTCCACTGACACTAGGAATTAATATTGCGTCCACTGACACCAGTGCCCTGATGTCAGTACTATTAATCCCCATACACATTGCAGGTCATTGGCTGTGAAAATTAACCCCTTCTATCCTGGACACTGATGATCATAGCAGTGAAAGATGTCCCTATCATAATTCCAGGCACTGCTAGGGGTGATTGGCGGTAATGTGAGCTGCGATTTGTAAATCTTCTGCACTGGTGCACCTATCTGGTGTCCGCTTTATGCCTAGATTGCAGCTATTTGTTGCTGACCTTACATCTGGCTTGTGCCTCTCTAGCGCTCACCTTACGCCTGGTTTACGTCTATACCTTAGATTGTACACCCCTTGAGGGTTAGGAACTGATGTGAATGTACAATATATATGTAAAGCGCTGCGTAAATTGACAGTGCTATATAAGTACCATAAATAAATATTTTGTCAACCTTACGCCTGGTTTGTGCCTACACACATCCCTTCAAAAGCTCCTGGTTTTTGCTGTTATTATTATTATTATATACCTGATTTCTGACAGTTGCTTCCTATTTATCTGCATCTCTTCACAGTGTGGGGTTGATTTACTAAAGGGAAATGGACTGTACAATTTTCAAATTCAGTTGCTTCAGAGATTAGTGAATGAGGTAGAGCTCTGTTGAGTTCCAGCATCCAATCATGTGAAAGCAAAAATGCTGTTTTATTTTTTATTCTGTGATTGGATTGTAAAGTGAAGTTTGGCCTCATTTACTAAACTCACTTGCAAATTACACAGTCTCTTTGCCTTTAGTAAATCAACCCCACTATATCCTAGCCCCTAAGAAGACATAAGAGTGTCATGTAACAGAACTCCATAGCTGAAAGGCATGTAAACAAAAATGCTTTGTTGTTACTGTAGACTCTGGTATGCTCTCAGTGACCTGTTTCAACTGTTCTTTTTATGTAGAAGTGAACCTATTCTGAAGGAGGTTTAACTATGACACTTCTACAATGAAAAAAAAAAGCTATGTGACTGCCATCTAGTGTTAAAAAGTAGGTAGAACAAGTTACATTGGCAATCTAGTCACTCATTGACAATTAAAGAGGTTCTCCAGTCTCCCCCCAAAAAACTGAAAGTCAGCATCTACAAAAACTGTAGCTGCTGATATATGTTTACCACTGCTCAAGGTAGAGAGACTCCCAAACTCCAAGCACAACTCCTTCTGTAGGTGCTAGCCCAGCTCGTGTGCTGCATAGATGAGAACAAAGCATATCCAATCAGCTGCACACCAAACAATCCACTTTATTGAACCAAGATAAAACCAATACAGACAGTGGAAAAACAGTAGGGGACTGGCAGGTCCTCCACTGTATTTCCACTGTCTATATTGATTTTATCTTGGTTCAATAAAGTGGATTGTTTGGAGTGCAGCTGATCGGATGTCCTTTGTTCACTGTAGCTGCTGACTTTTAATATAAGGACTTACCTGTCCAGGGATCCAGCGCTGTCTCATCTGAAGCAATTCTTCAGTGGGCTTCTGGTCTAGGTGCCAGCATCTTAACTAAGGGAAACTGGTAGTGAAGCTTTCGTGGCTTCACAGCCAGTTTCCCACTACGCATGCGTGAGCTGCACTGCTCTTTGTGAATGGTCCTGCAGTCTTCTGGGACCTGTAATGTGTCCAAGAAGGCTGCGGCAAACTTCTGCTTGGATCGCTTAGCAATCAGACTGGAAGTGGGAACTCTCCCCCTCCCAAAAAGTGTCAATTACTGCTACAGGGCAGAATCTCTGCACAAAATCACACACATATATTTATATAAATATATACATATATATATATATATGATTCGCGCTCCCGCCATGATCGCGGGCTGGGGTCACGAGAGCCCACCGACCAGTGGTGCCGTAATTTGGTGCCCGACCGATCAATCAGCAGATTCAGGCCTGGATGTTCGGCCTGGATCATCTGATTGATCCCTGCCCTATCACAGATCTTCCTGTACCTGTGTTTACATTTACACAGGTACAGAAAATGATACAGTCTTCTCTCCCTGGGCACATGCTGTCCCAGAGAGAGAAGAAAGCAGATCCACGTGAGTAAAAACAGCACACATCTACAGTAAAAGCACTAATAGGTCACATTTAACCCGCTAATTGCCCCCCAGTTAACACCTTCCCTGCCCGGTCACCAATGTCATTAGTACAGTGTACAGATTTTTTCACTGATCACTGTATTAGTGTCACCAGCGACTTCAGATAGCATCCCTCCCAGATAGTGTCAGATTGCCTGCCACTACATCAGTCATCACATTTAACCCTTTTATTGCCAGGAACACACTCACATACAGAATAAACCTCCATTGCTAGTATAGTGTCTGAACGGAACAAAATCTTTGATCAGATCAGAACTATAGCAGTGTTCACAAAGTATATTGTCCCCAAAAAAGTAGCGTTAGCAGGATCAGCCCTGCCACCTGCCAGCACCTGTCTTTACCCTTTTCCCCCAGTAAGTGCAGTGTCAGTATATCACTGTCACTTGATACATTGCACTCAAAACCGCAGTGTTAGCAGAATCAGGCCTTGCAGGTAAATTTTTTTGTAGCGGTTCAAGCAGTCCCTGATAGCCAAGTGCTCTTTTTCCAGAGCCGCACTAGGTACCTATAAATTTAGTGGCCAAAATGTTCAACAAAAGGTATTCTAGTGAAGAAGCCTACAGGATTCTGACCATGTCAGATGAGAGCGAAGGGGAAGCCTCACTGACAGAATCAGGCTCACAGTACAAACCTGTAGACAGCAGGGGCACCCTGACAGATAGCTCAGATGATGGACTGGAGGTCTAAGAGGACTAAGAGGTCTAAGAGGACTAAGGACAGGCATACCTGACCCTGTTCCCAGGTTGCTGAGGTGTTACAATTACATGATGACTCTCATATGCAGCAGAGTGCTAGTACTAGTGCCGCTCTACCTTTTGATAAACTGGCAAGTACCAGAGGCCTAGTACATCCTGGTCTTCCACATAACAGCACTGCAGTTTCATTTGGTGACGTGGCTAGTCCCATAAGAGCAGTACAAGCTGGTGCGGTGGCGAGCACAAGTAGCATCCCGCAGCCACCAAGAATTCGAACACAGGCCCATAGAGCCCACAGTGTCTTTCCGGATGTGCTTGCAAATCCTGATTGGCAACCCAAAAATTCTGCAACACCCGTACTTCCCCCATGCACTGCCCAACCAAGAATTCAGGTGGAAACAGCAAATTTACCTACTCCCTTGATTTTTTGGAGCTGTTTCTTATGGAAGACCTGTGTGGATCGA